CGTGCAGAATTTCTTCCTAATGTCCAGCCTAAACTTGCCCTGTTGCAATTTGCAACCATTCCCCCTGGTTCTGTCCCTAATTCCCTGTGAGAAGAGACCAGCACCAACCTCTCTACAATGTCCTTTCAAGTAACTGCAGAGCATGATGAGATCCCCCCTCAGCCTCCTCTTGGTCAAACTGAACAGACCCAGCTCCCTCAGTCGCTCCTCATAAGGTCTGTTCTCCAGGCCCTTCACCAGCTTTGTTGCCCTCCTCTGCCCTTGCTCCAACACCCCGATGTCTCTCTCATACTGAGGTGCCCAAAACTGAACACAATACTCAAGGCGCAGCCTCACCAGTGCTGAGCACAGGGGGACAATCATCTCCCTAAGAGGTGATTTCTAAGAGTATTTACAGAATCGGCTGTGAATTCTACTCTAATACACCTTGAGGATATCCAGCCATGAGCTGAACATTATACACATCACCAGGCACCTTGCTTTACAGTTTCCTTTTTGCTTGAGGCCGCTGGAGCCACCAATCTGCTGAACTGTCCAAATTACTAAGCTTTTGGAATGAACAAAAAAAGAGGAAAAAAAAAAAAGAGTGTAAGCACTTCCCAAACGTGCAATTAGTTCTTGCAAGTCTAGCGGCTTTACCAACACTCCTTGGGACTTAACATCATCAGTGAGAGAGTGTTGTTACCAGGAGAGTGTTTGGCTTCCTGACATTGAGATTGGGCTGATTACCCATAACGGGTGACCAAAGAAGCCAGAGAATTCTCCTACAAGTAAGAAGTTGTTCGCATGAAATGCACGTAATTTCTGAATGACTGTGTTTGGTAGACAGATGCATAAATTGCCTTGTAAGCTCCATCTCGTAAATTGTTTTCATCCCACTGTAGAAAACTCATTGCTATCTACAGGCTTCACGTTCTGTTGTACAGACTTTGCCTGCGCTCTTGAGAAACAACCGGCTTGACTTGAAGAGCTTTCTACTGTGTCGTGACAGCCATAAGAGCCGTTACTCATGCAAGATGAAGTGACTTGGTGGGACAGCACTTCTGCAGAGAGCACAGAGGAACAATCAGTGCCTGGGATGAAGGCCAGGACTGCAGCAAGCACAGGGCGAGGCTGGCACTCGAGGGGACACAGCGACATCAACCCCACAGAAGGATCCCACCTGAGTAGTGACAGCTCAGTACTGTCCAAAGATGAGGGTAAAAAAAAAGCTTAAGGAGGAATAAGTTATCTGCAGCCTGAAACTAGATGTCAAAATCGCTGTGTTCCTTTTAGGAACTCAAGGTTTTGGGGTGACTAGGACCGGCTACCCTAGTCCTTCCCAGATCTCAGGGTAGGGGAGAATTACTGACCCGCAAACCCCTCACGGGTAAGGCTGGCGTGGTGAAGCACGGCAATTCACGTAGCATCACACTATGGCACCTGCGCAAAGTTAAATTCTTGTCCCAAAACGATCAGGGTTTTGCCAAAGCCCCCAGATCCTTCCTTGGAGGTAAGGACCCTGCAGCCTTCACCCGTGGAATGAGTCCCACAGCCACCCCACAGCCTGGCCACCAAATCCGGTGACTCCTTGCCGACAATCCCAGTGGCGCAGAGCCCACGCACTGATGTAACTGACATTTCACAGAGGGAAACCAAACCAGACAGAGACAAAAACCCCCGAGCCTCTGACATTACCGAGCTGAGCGTTTCCAGCGTAGCACCTGGCGCGGCGTGCGGCAGCAGACATGACCTTTCTCAAGTCTCTCACGGCAAACCTGAGTCACTCTAAGCCGCAGGAGAACGTGAAGAGAAAACGCAGGAGATAAAGGATCTAGGGTAGCCACAGGAGCAGAAGCGTGTCATCTATTTGCAGGGGAAAACCAAAAATTTTTTTAAAAAAAAAATAAAAAGACACAAAAGAGGAAGTGAACATAAAAAGCATAAACTTAGGGACGTGTCTTTTTATTTAATTTCTTATACTAAGTACTGAAACATGAAATACACGTTAATCTGCAGTCAGAAAGGAGTTTAAGAACTGCAAACCCCAGCTCATTTATACGTTTTTGTTTCAACGTGGCTCTCAAATACCATCTGTTCTTGCCCTAATCCTTCTCCAAAACTAAATGAAACACAGCAATAAGTGAAATAAAGCTCAATTTTAAAGAGACAGTCTCGTTAAAACTCCAGGCAGCCTTACGTGATAACCTCACGCGTAAGAGAAGAGATATTGGTGATTGAAATCCCAAAACCAAGATGGGTTGTTTTTTTGTTCGGTGTCCCTCCTGATTTTTTGTAGCCATCTGATCTAACCCCTTTTTACAGGGGGCTGGCACGTGGCCCCTAACTCATGGCTAGTGCGGTTGAAAAGTTGTTAAACCATGCGTGGAAAAAATGGCATTATTCTCACCCAGAAATAAAAAACTACAGGAATCATTACTGAGTCTTACAGACAGATCTTCTAACAATCAAGAGGCCCAATTTTAACGACGACATTCACTGCATGTGCTTAAGTGAATTCCTGAATCGGGGCTCTGTGACAACTAAGAGGAATTTAATTTTCAAGTGACGCAGGTTTACCAAGTAAAACATGTCCCATTAAAACCACAGTTTGCATTTGTTTGCAGCGTAAGAGACCTGACTCCTCATCTTACTGCATTCCACTGCAAAAAATTTCCAGTACAGCCCTACCTTTCCCAGCTTAGATGAAGCAGCATGATTTAAGACTGTGTCTCGAATGCCTGAAAGAGGGCAAGTCTGAACGCTTGGAAAAAAAAGTCACTTACTTCATGACACAGGCCCATACCTTTGAGAAAGGAAAGTTTCATTTCTGGCACGCAGGAAGACCAGTGTGGGCAGAAGGCAGCAGCAATTTGTTCAAGATTCTGCGCCTGTTTTTAGCTACTTCCTGCCATTTTAGGGAGATTTGGAACTACAACAAAAAAATTATTAAAAAAAATCCAAGAAAGTTTTTCACGGAAGAGTGACAAGACTCAACGTGGCCATTAAAAAACCGTTTATTTAGAGTAAAATATCTATGCTAGCACATTTAAACCACCAATCCATCAACACTCAAATCCTCAAAAAAAAAAAAAACACATCATAAATTCCTCCAATCCTATCAAATGTTATTATGGTTTAACTCTTCAGACAGGATCAGATGTCTCAGCACGGTGACTGGACACAGCCCAAGGGCAGCCCGGGGTGGCTCACAGGTCCTCACTAGCCCAAAGGCCACCAACCACAGGGAGGCACAAGGGTGCGACGTGCTCAGGTGTCCTCCTGCACCGCCGAGTCACAGAGCAAAACCCAGGCACGGTTTGTAGACACAGCTGACGGGTCCCCACCACAGAGGAACCCCGCTCAAACCAACAGCTCATCCGCTCCTGTGGGCTGTTTTCATCAGAGAACTCACTCTCAGAGAGCTCGTTACTCATCAGTGGCCTCGCCTGGTTACATGGAAATCCAGCGCTTGCCCAGGGAACGCAGCCCAACAGCTCGATAAGCGTCGCTTCTCAGAATTTGCCCGGTGGTCTCTGGAACTTGTTTCTCGGATTAATCCGTTGCACAGAATTGTTGAGGCTGGAAAAGACCTCCGAGATCATCAAGTCCAGCCCGTGACCCAACTCTTGGCCATCCAGCTCGCTGCAAAGCGTCGCCACGGAGGCCGCTTTGCAAAAACTTCTGCCTTCGCAACGGGGCCTCAGTGTTTTGCGAGGGGCTGAGCCTTTTCATCTCAAACATCCCAGCGACTCCAAGGTCAGAACTGCTGCCAGGCAGCTTTCCACGCGCTTAATTTACAGAGAAAAACACCCCACGTGGCTTTCTGATGTCACACAGAAAGCCAGGGGCAGGGCAGCAGGAGAGCTCGGAGCCTGCTAAGCCACAGGATTGGGCCCTTTGGTGATCCTGCTTTCTGTGAGAATTATACACACCCGAGTAACTTTTTGCTCATATGTGCTCTCCAACCACACACATCATACCCGTGCTTCTAGCTGCTAACATAGTTTATTTCAGAAAGCCACTGTCACACTTTGTATATAATACAAATGTTTCTATACATTGTATATGCACTTCAAAACAGGAGCTCATTGCTAAGTACACCATATGTATAACATATAGGAAAACATATGTTCAAAACCATGTTTCTAAACACCACTTGTATTCTTGAATACATTTCCTGTTGCATATTTGGGCATATGCTTTGGTACTGCATGTCTGAAATACCTCTCTAGTGAGGTATTCCGTAAGGATTATGTAACTTGCAAGTTTACTTCTCGAACATTTACAATGAGGTATTTAAATTACATCAGAAGCAATTAACAACAACACCTCAGCTTTCTCTCAGATTTTGAACATGGTGCCTACAACTTGAATGCTTTCCAGACCTGCAGACCAACCAACTTCTGGAAAATATTACAAAAGCAAACTTCATTTCATACAGCGTACAGGCAAACCACCAGGTATTTAAACGGCACAGAGACCAAACCAAGAAGGCTTTTTCAGTTCTGAATGCAGGTTCCACCGGCAGCGTGCACAAGGTGACCATCCAGATGAACGGCCACAGCATTTTTTAGGCATCTCTCCACTGTTACACGGTCTCTGCACATCTTTGCTCAAAGGCAACTCCTGAAGGCCCAGACAGCACCAGATAGTTAGCACTGTGTTAAGAGCTCAGCTCTTGCCTCTTATCGACAGCATCTAAGGAGTTACTCTTTACTATACGATCACAAAAGTATCATTCAGCAGCAGAAAAGCTCTACACGTCCATGAACATGCTCCTAAACCTAAGACATAAACAGATTTCTCCCAAACCCAAAGTGCTGTCTGGAATCAAACTTGCTCACAGGTTTCTCCCTGCATCCATGGCAAGGAACCAGGTCCCACAAAAGTTGGTTTAAGCTAAACAATTGTACGGTGGAGATGTTCAAGCTTGACTGAAACAGCTTTACTTGCATGTTCAAGAGGGAGCACACAGCATGGCAGCTGCAAAGGGCTTATAGGAAGAGTGTTAGTCATACACGGCAACTTCTAAAGCTTACAGCTCAGACAAGCAGTACTCTACCTTTCCCCCTACTCTGAACTACAGTTTCCACTAAAAATGTTCTGATCAGAAATTACCGTTCCTTTTGCCTTCTGCCAATCCACGTATTCTACTTCCTACACATGTGAAAGATCTCCAGGGTGATTTCCAAACACTTGGAGATCTGGAGCTACCTTGTGATCATGAGTAATTCCTTTTGTTGGCCTGAAAATGGGGATACCGCACAGTGTGTTAACATATTTTCTCAATGAGCATGTTTAAAAAACGCAGAAGGGGGAAGTAGTCATCTCTCAACAGTCACGTAACAGCTAGAAACAGAGTTCTGGTGCTCTTCTGGCGCGTGGCCAGCATGAATTACCAGAAATGACAACTGCTTCTGGAGGCACGCCTGAGGTATGCCACTCAACTTGACCAAGACGAAAAAACTTGAAAAAAATAGAAGCACAAAGGAAGCTGCCTAGGTTCATCAGGGGAGATAAAGTGAGCAGAGCTCATTCAGGAAGTAGACTGAAAGACCGGGGACACCTGCACTGAGAAACTGAGAGACGTGCTCCGCTTGGCATCTCGTGGTTGTAAGACAAGATCCAAACTTGGTCATAAAGCAGGTCTTTTGATTTCCCTAATTTTCTGTCTGCTCAATGATCAGGTCTTAGAGCTTCATAAAGCACTTTTCTCAGTCCAAAGACAACTGCCTGTCACTAGGTACTGAAACACCCAGAGGAATAAATCATCTCAGTCCTGGCAACAGGGATGCTGTGCACAGGATCTGCCCAAGAGAAAAATTAGGTGATTCCACCACAACAGCTGCTCCCTGGTGCCCTAATGCCAAATGGGCTGCGCAATGAGGCCCAAAGGAACCGAAGCGCAATTAAACATTTACACAAACCCATGTCTAGAGCCACAGAATGCACCGTCACGTTACTTGTTACAATAAACTGGCTCAGAAATGTAGGAAACGGTAACGTAACATGGAATCAGTTTTTGATGAAACTGGAATTGCAGTCCATGTGTTCTTCCTGGATAGGAACTCCGCAGCTCTTTTCTGGAAGACAGATAATAACAGTAATTAAAAAAAATAATAAAATATTGTACAGAGTAGAAGTTGCTCTGCTACTTGGTTAGGTGGACTTTATTACGATTGAAACAATTATTAAAGTTCAAATAGGAGTCCCTGATTATTCTCTCTCCTATACATTTTTCCCCATAAAAAGAAACTCACCTTGCTGGTTCTTTCTACAGGGCCTCCTCCTGGTCTCTTTTTTCACTGCTTGGATCATCAACAGGAGGATGGACATTCCGCTCACCAGGAGCAACACCACACAAATAAGGATAAGTGATATAGATCCTGGGGGAAAAAAAATACACTGAAAAAGATGTATGGTTCTAGCTGGAGTTTCCATGGCTTTCCAGCTTAAAAAGAAGGAATTTAGAACTCCAGAAGAACCCCTGAATCACAAATCTGAAAAAAAAACAGCTGCCAAGCAGAAAAGTGAGAAATCTGGAATCCTGTGTGTGTCTCACTGTAAAAATCAGACAAGGCTTCTGAGGTAGAGTGTGATTCCATTTGCAATGAAATGTTTCAGGTGAAAACCCTTGACCAGCATTGGATCACTCCCCCTCCTTACCCCAGTTAGTCTCCGTGGGGCTGTTTGTATCCGAGCAAATTAAAGGAATCACACTGGGTCTGGACAGTGTGAACGCTGTAGTCGACGTATTATTCTTGCGGCCAGCGGTAGAAAGATTCAGAGCAGGTGTTGCGCTCTGAGAGGCAGCAGTGCCAGCTGTCACCGGTGCCATGTGGTCACTGCAAATGGCATCAGCTGCTTTTGTCCCTGGTCGAAGAGTGCTTTTCCCAAGAATGCTACAGCTAGAGACACAGAAGAAATCAGTGCAGTTTCACAAACAGTTACAGTAATCACTTTCTACATGAGCTCCACGGAACAAGTGAGTGAACACGACAGTCCTTGTTTTATCAATGCAAACTTTCCTAGATTCTACAGATAAGTGAAGAGCAACTAAGCAAACTGAAGTTATTACCGGAACAAAACTGACATTCTGTTTTTCTTGGCATCTGTACACAGAACAACCTTGAAGCACAACCTGCATGTGGCAAGGGAACCTTTTGCTACAGAAACAAAACATCCAGTTTAAGAAAAGAAAAAAAAAAAAGGAAAAAAAAAAAGCTGAGAATACTGTTGTTGCCATAGGTGAAGATAGAAAGGGTAGAAGGCAGAAAGATCCTTCAGACGAGTACAGAGACTGCTCAGGCCTCAGGAGGGTCACAAGGGAGGTGGTTTCTTTGCACCTAGTGCAAGTTTACACACGTTTAGATCAGTAATAATACATACTTGGTCCAAGGTTGACATTCTTTGTTTCCCCCCACGGAATAAGACCCTTCAGGACACGGTACGCATGCTGGAAAAAAAGAAAGTGGCAGAATTTGAGTTCAGTTAACAACATAACTGTGTGACAGCTACACAGTAACAGCACTACTAGCTTACACTAGTAAAATCTAGCTTATAGAACAAACCCAAGGAAACCCACATAGTGTCTAAAAGCCACAGTCATTGCGTCAGAAGTAACACACCACTCCTGGCTGTTCATTTTAGTCTGTAAGTGTCCTGTTTTCTCTACTGGCTAATTAGGGATATTAACAACTAGAGCATTAAGATTTCTGACAGCTCAGGAATCACAGAGCAACAGTTTGCACAACTCTGCTCTAACACGTGTGTGGAGACATCGAAGGGGCAAAAGACAAGAGCTTTTACCCTCGAAATAGCGACCATCTCATCTGAAGCAGAAGCAAGAGTCTGGAGAGTCTCACACATCAGTAACTCACCGCCTCCCTGTGTACGTGCGGCATCTGGCATGTAACCTGCAAGACACCTGCAAATTCTGTCAGAGGTCTTCTCACACTTCTTCACTTCCACGCTCCCCCTTCCTAGCAACAACAGAATAAAGGGTAAGAGACAAGATAAAAGTTAAGTAAGAAATTCCTTTGTGCCTGTCTGTTAGGTGTTCAAACAACTGCAGAGAACAGTTCATTAACAATTCAGAAGACGCCAATTTTCATGCAGTACAAGCTTGCTTCCCTCCGAAGGCTCTACCACCACTACCGACAAGGAGATACCAGCATGATAAGGCAGTCTTTGGACTTGGCCATCTCAAGTGACAGGTTTTATGCCATCAGCCTTCAAAGAGCACGCAAAGATAAGAAAAGCACACAAAGACTGATTGCCTCCCAAACTGGTAACAAGAACTGGCCACCGGCTGGCTGACTTACTAGCGTTGCAGATCGTGCACGGCTTGCAGAAGCCATGGTTGTGCTCATCACTGAAGTATTCGTCTTGACAGGGGACACAGACTGTGTCTGCTTCTGAAGTGCAGCGCATTTTCATACTTTCACCTAAAACAAAGACCACGTAGGAGGAGGAAATGATTGTTAGCAGAAGGAAACCCTCTCCATTTTCATGCACTAGAATTAAAGAGTGCCCAGAAAGTGACAGTTCCACTTACAACTCTGGCTGAGAACGCTCAGCAGGTTTAGACATGTCACGACGCCTACAAATTTTGACCCATAGCACCACTGGAAAGTAAGCAGCTAAAATGGGCTAGCAGGGGCCTACTGAATTGCTGAGAGTTGAGGCAACACAGCAAATAATTCTCCCAGCGGATTGCCAATACCACTTCTCCCAACCACCTTTTCATATGGTTTAGACGTCCCGTTTTGCAGCCATCATCAGGAAAAAAATAAAAAGGTTTTTGGCATGGCAAGTCAGATCTTCGATGTGATACGATGGCTTTATGACAAAGCCTGCCTTCCCTTATGAGCTAAATCACGCAATTCAACTCAAAGTCACCCTCAACAGGTACAAAAAGTGGCAAGGGACTGCTCAGGTTTGCAGTCAATTCATCAGTGAAGCAGTCAAGAATAAAGATTTGCGGTATCCCTCCGCTGGCATTCCGAAAGGCCATTAGGCATGAAGGAAAGTGGTTGTATTTTGAGACACATCTGCACTGGAACCCACCAACATCAAAGCTGTTACCAGCTCCCTTTCATGAGCAGTGAGACAGCGTGCAAGGTGTCACTCGGGTACTATTCCAAAGAGTACGTGTCCCCACACACCGCATTCAGAAACACGTTCTGGATGCCTGCACCCACATATTCCAACCCGCAGGATACACAGTTCTGACACAGAGGTTCAGACTGATGCGCTAGGATGCGGTTTGTGAGCAAAGCGACTGCCCAAGCTGAAACTGCACGTTAATAGTGGGGTTTGGAAAAGGGATCAGATGTGTTCCTTGTCTCTCACTAGTTCTCTCCATACAGCACAGGCTGTAGGAACTAGAGACAGCTTTAATAACCAGAGTTTTTCCAGTTGAGCTTAAATATGTCCTTATTCTTAAAGACTGTCTCCTTCATTCCAGTTCTTGCTAACTCTTATTTTCTCTGCATTTTATTGAGTGCTACTGGTGGCAAAAGAGAGAATTTGAGTGATCACAATGTGTACAATACACTTCTACATTTTTACTATCATTTTTACAGCAAGAGACGATGAAGAAACGTTTCCTCAGGAGCAGCAGATTTGCTAACAATGCAGAAAACCCGACAGAAGTTCTTTCAGTGTAAAGAGGAACAAAAAACTTAAAAGGGAATATCTGTATCTGCACACGAGCTTGCCTTTCTTTAAATTGAGTTCATGAACAGTCACTTAGGGCAATAAACTGCCTCAAGTCTTAAAGGTTGAATTTATTCCAATTAGCATCTTGGAAGACATTACTACTGCAGAGATACTACTTATCTATTTTACGTAGTAGACTTAATTATGAAAAGAGAAAGTAACTGAACGATGCATGTAAAACCACACACAAGACTTCAAGTTGCAACTGCATTTACAGACATTATTAGACAAGATTTTCTAAGCTCTTTTATGTGACAGGGCAAGAACAGTAACGTAAATGTTACCATCTTTTCGCAGCTAATACTCCCACAGTGAAAACACACGCGAACGAAGCTGAGCCACACAGAAGTTAAAGGGGTAGCTCTTTCAAAGAAGATTCCTAAATTTAGTTTGTTATACAACTGATTTTTGTCAGTCTAGACCGATATTAAAGTCTCCTGAAATGCATTTTCTCCATGTTATGCTACTTACATTTGAACACTTCCATTAAACTGTTTTTTACTACCTGCAAGTCATCACCTGATAGATATTACATGGAAAAAATACAAGCAACATCCAGTGAAAATTACTTACCAGGGGCACAGTCCTTGCAGCATTTTCCCAAAAATGGATGTTCATGTTCCTTGCATTTCACTTCCAGGCAACGGCTAACAGGTACTGCCAGCAGGAAGAGCAAAGCAGCAGAGAAGTGCGAGGAAAAACCTACAGCTACCATAACGCAGCCTCTGCTGTCCCAGCAAAATTCTGACAGTGGCAAACTCTTGGGGAAGTGAGTCTGAGCTGCTGGCGACCAGAACAAATTCATATGTCACTTGCTGGGAAATTCCCAGCGTGCGTTCCACGCCCCCATCCTTTTTCCCACAGCCCACAAACCTATTACTTTTTTTTTTTTTTTTTCTTTTGCAGCTCCCAACTCATTCATAGGCAGCAAGGCAGCGGGCTGAAAAGATTTCTATTCACAGCCTTAAACCAGAGTGCCTCCAGCCAGGTACGTACCTCTCCACGTAGGATGAAAGCACAGGCCTCGAATGCCCGAACTTGAGGAGATGATTCTTCTGATTGTAAAGAGAAGCATTAAAGCAATATCGAAGCAATGCCTGAAAACCTTTACGGATGAGAGCCACAGGTGAAATGAAACAGAGCTCACGCAGGCTCGGCTCCTTAAAAGGCAAAGAACACGCTTTTCTTCCCTCGGTCTCTCGGTGGATCCATGACTTTTATTGCTGCATAAAAAAAAATAAAAATTGACGTTAACGCATTTTTCTTCTCGGGAAGAGCATGGAATAACAAATCGGTCATCTTGCTATTGCCCTCCGGAGCTAGCAAAAGCTACGAGCAAGGAGTGTTTGCAGTCCTCATTTCCACGGTTGGTCTCAGACTCGCTGCACTGCCACGGAACGAAAGCTCGCTGCTGACTCCGAAACGGAGACTTCGCATCACCCCTGCCGCTCGCTCCCATGGAAGGAAAAGCTTCCAGCCAACGCGTGCTCTGTGAAAGCAAAAGATGCAATATTCACCTTCCAGCTGCTTTTCATTCTTGTTCTGCTCCGCAGAAGGCCGATACCTGTTCAATCTGAGACCCAGCGTGTGCGAGCCAGCAGCAACAGGACAGCGAGAGAGGAGGCTGAACAGCACAGCGGCAGTCCTGCCCTCACCTGACACAGATACACAGAGCAGAGAGAAAAAAAACATGTATCACACTAGGAACTAATATGTTTAACTTTCCAGGCTCCCTATTAGACTTGAATTAATTCAACCTTATTCATCTAGGGTCTCAATTTTAGCTCTTCCAGCTCTGAGACTTGAGCGACTCTTATGCAAAGGCCCAAGTAAACGAGACATCCTACAGAAATAAAAGAGGTTTTATTTACATTGGTTAAAAAGCAGAGCCAGACTTGCCGCACCAAGCAGATCTACAGTCAATTTACATCTAAATGCAAAGGTGATTCGATTGGAACAGAAGCATATTTGGAATTCAAATCAGCCTGAAGTATTTGGGAGGACTGAACAGCAATATTCTAACAGGTTTTCCCCACAGCTGCTGCTTTTCATTTCTTGAATTTCTGTCAAACTGTTTAAGAGTGGAAGGGGAGACAAAACTGATGCAAAACTATTTTTCTGCTTCTCCTGTTTTCCAAGCATTTGAGAAAGCCACCACTCTGGCAACAGAAGTTACGCCTTAAAGCCCTTCTTGCCAAAAGGAAGCAAGGCCGACAGAGCGAGCACACCTCACCGGCTGAACTTCAACTCCCTTCACGCTCGGTACCAGTGTGCAGGAAATATCCAAACCTCTTCCCGCTGCAGCATCACCCTCAGCGCCACTTCAGCGACTTTACATGACTCAGGCATTCCCTTGGCAATATTTAACCATTTGAGTTTTGCAGTTGCCAGCTAAATGCTGTGTTACCTTCCCTTTTCCAAAGGATTCCGTGTCATTATCAGAAGATCGAGACGCAGGGTCTGTGCCTCTCCTGACAGATAAAATATCCAATTTCACCACCGTATTGCAGCGGCTCAAGAACCCCTCTGAAAATTTGCACATTTGCTTTCCGAGCGCCAGGTGTGACAAGATGCAACTTCTCCACTCGTAGATTATACCCCAATAATCGAATTGTGCACACGAGTGTAACGCAAGAACGCAGTCAGGACATTCATATTATCACCAACGAAAAGTGCTAAAACTTTTCTTTTAACCAGGTGGTGAAGAACCGCATCGCAAAACCGTTCAGTTTACAAGTATAATTTTGTGTCCGTTCAAAGTGCGTATTACGAAACCTTAGCAAAACCCAGGCCTTCTGCCAACCAACCCAGGCCAGCCTTACCTACGACTTCTGCTTTTTAAACACAGGATTTGGGGTTGATTCTAGCCACATTATAATCTCACCAGCCCGCAACCATGTGGGGAGTTGGTGGAAGGGAAAGGAGGCTGACTTACGCGGCAGACGTTCTAAGCTCATTTTAATACGCGATTATCAACTCAATTTATCCCCCTCTCACAGTTCTTGCAAATCACATTTGAATTTGTCTGCCCTCTGAAGAATTTTAAGTCTCCTCTCTCACGGACAAAGCTAAAGTCAGCAAGGTTTCCAAAGCATGGGGAAAAATATTTAATGAAAAGAGATGTATGTGTATAAAAAGACTCTGATACAAGCCATTTAATAAACAAAATGGGAAAAAAAGGAGGGAATTCTGAAACAGAAACAGACAGCAATACTTATATTTACATTATATTAAGAGAATAAATTTAATCAAATATAACATCTCGGATTTTCAGGCAACCCTTCAGAAAGAGGGGTTTCTACAGTAAAGGTGGAACCAGAGTAAAAATAAATTTTCTGGTTTAGACAGTAGTGGATATGACCCTTGTGTTGCAAGATGCTCTCAGAGATTACCCAAAACCAGACTGATTAAAAAGCTTCCCCAGCGCTGGCTGTACGTTGGCTCTGGCAAAAGCAGCTCAGAAGCAAAGCCTGTACTTCCCCCAGCTTCACCGTTCTTGAGCTTATCAGCATCATTAATTTGCGCAGAGGCAAGTAATTATACTAGTTTTAACAACGAATTTTCGTTAAGCAGTAATCATACACATAGGTAAATCCAACTGCTCTGCCCAACATCTTTTAAGTTCACAAAGGAACCTTACACATTGCTCATTTCTTTAAATAAAAAAAAATTATCAAATTTCATTCTAAAGTGAAACCTCACGTATCTCCCAGTACAGCTGCAAACACAAAACCTGCCACGCTACGATCAGTTCTCTTTTAAAGCAGATGCAGAAAAGTTTCTCTGCAACATTTAAAGTTCTTCCCCCACTGCTCCTAAAGATAGCTCAGCGATGGAGTAAGAACTTGTATTAAATTCTCAGCAAGTCACAAGCAGGTTGAGATGCCGTGAGAAAAATACCGGAAGATCAACCTTTGGAGGCTACGCGTGGATATTCTCAGATCAGAACACACGTAGCTGAACCACGATCCCCTTTACAAAAGCCAACGTGTCTCGGTGTTACTTGTGATTTCCATGGATCGGCAGCTGGAGGGCAACAAGACCAGTGAAACATTTAAGAAGCCTTCCCCAAACGTGATTAGCCAAAAGCAGCTGACACATCAGCTGGATTAACTGTACGAACCAGGGCGGGCTGATGTAGTCCAGCACGTGCCCTATCACCTACGGACTTTTTTTCCCCCTCACACCGAAGGAAAGACGACCGTAGATCTTATGTATGGACGGAAGTTGGGGGGTTTTGAAGTCTAGGACAACACACAGTAGGCATGAAACGCAGATAGCAGCAAAAGTAACCTTCTGTCTCTCTGGGGGTTTGTTTTTTTTGAAAGCAAGAAAGTGCTTGAGGGCTCTAGAGAAGCGAGCAGGATCAGAACTCCTCATGGACGTTGCGTGCGTAGTCCATAAGCTTGCTGCCTGTGAAGTATTCGCTGTATTTCAGGATCTCATCCAGCTCTAAGTGATGGTTTTGATTTTCATCTGCTACTGCTATCATCTGCTTTGCTTCATTTAGGGCGTTGTATTCGTTCATAGGATCCATATATTCCTAAAACAAGAAAGAAAATAATTTTCAATCGCTAAACACACACTTCCACAAATCAGAATTATGAACCTTAGCTTCAGCAATTACGAGACCAACCTCAGCCATCCCAAAGTGAACCTAAGCCATTGAAAAAAGTGTTGGCACATCTTTTCAACAGGCTAACATCTATCTCCCAGCTGTTTCACAGTTTCCTTGGCTGTTCTAACAGAAATCTAGATTTTCTCAGCTTATGCCAGTGTTTACAATGATTTCATTTACGACATTTTAGTTGCAAATTAAACTCACTACCAAAACTGGTGGGTTTTGTGAACAGGTATCAATTCAGAATTAACACTACTGATCTGTATCACCTAATTTTTCTTCTTGCTGGGGACACTATGTTTAGAACATGTTCAGTTTAGAACTTTCTTGTTCCATTTTAAACCACCAGACAGACATTAGAGAGGTCAGAAGTGTCAAAGCAAAGCATTTTGCTCCTTCGCTTAACTTGAAATAGATTAAAAATTTTCAAGCAGTGCACTTCAGTTCCTGACTCAAGATTATCTTCATTTCTTCCCAGAAGACACGACATACGCATGTGCGCATCTATGTCTGTAAACGCACGTAAAGACTTCACAGATCAAACCGCTATTTTTAAAATACAATTCGCAGTAGAAATGCTGTTACTACTGTCTATGTCAACGTAACTGGTTATCCATGCGATCATTCGTACCCACGTATTCGCATACCAAGAAGGCCGAGGACGTTACCATTCACCCTGGCCCAGTGAGGAAACAATTTAAAGGTTCTCCTTACCCACTGCCTACGCTGCAGTTTGAATTCTGCTCGTCAAAGTACATTCTTACATCCAGAAGGAAAAACAAAACAACAAAAACCACCCCAAATATTTCTGGACTTTGTATTCTCTAAAGCAGTTTCAATCCTTTTATTTAAGAAACAATTATTGGTTTTAAAAAGCACCGGAACAAACCCTCTGAGGCAGACATACCTCCAGCTCTTCCATTGTGACAATTCCATCCCGGTTGGCATCAATGACCTCCTCAAATTCCTTCCTTCTGTCTTTTACCCAGTCATCATCAATGTCTTGAGCCTGCTGGTTCTCTACGGTACCAACAGGCAAGGAAATGAACTCGGAAAGGGTAAGTTTCTTATCTCCATCTTGATCTGCAACAGAAGGACACAGTAACTGAAAAAGTATTCGCTTAATGCCCGTGAAAAAGGAGAAAATCCTCCGTGTCACTGGCACACTCTGCCTGGTTTCAGCAGCCAGCAAACCTGACCCTTGCAGAGAAGAGGAGTCCCCCTTTGTATCTCTGACCAGCCAAAACCTCCCTGTACTCTGGCACGTACACCATGTCCCAGAAGGCTAAAACCCACACACTCACTGATATACTAAACAAAAATAATCTTCCTGGACCCAAAAGGCACGTTAGTTGTCGTTTATTTTTTCAACAATCCACTGTTACATATTCTTACAGCTGTGTTCAGTCTCTCCTTGTGTTAGCATTCGAGTCAATCAAACTTCATAACAGGCTGCACACTGGAGTTGTTCTGCCTGTGCTGTCACACACTCAAGTATCACTGGAAACTCTTCATATTTACGAAGGTAAAAACTAGCAAAGTCATAGCTGTCTTTTTTTAAATCCAGGTGTTCTAGCAGTTTTAAATTGACTCAGAAAAAGAAAATAATCACAACATGTGTATGCCAATACCTACAAATGAACAAAATATTAATTTCTTAGAAACATTAACCAATTATTTCCACTGTCCCGACTGTACATCACAATTCTTACACGTTTACTGTACTGGGGAAGTACAAGGCTGTTAATACCCTCCCCATGGAACATTCACATCAATATTTTACCGTTCATCCAACTTTTTCTGCTATTGCTACAGTAACTTTACAACACAGCAGCACCTCAGTGTGTAGCGTTAGCAAACAAACAACTCCCAAGAAACACGTTTTCAAATGGCGTACCCAAATCTCGGATGATTTCTTTCACCATGAACTTCAGCATTCCCCTACTATGCTCCGGATGAAGAAAGGACAGAAACTCCTCTTCATTCAGCAACAGATCAGGAGGTGGGTTGTCAGCTTGGTACCACCGATCCTTCAGGTTATCTAAAACTTCCTGTGCTAGAAATTTAAGAAAAAGATTTAAGCTATCACGCTGAATCTTTTTTAAAAGTATTTCAGCCTAAAAATGTGATTTGTTGGAACTATTTAAGATGGCAGCTCTACAAGAGAAAGTTTGGAAACACCAAGAGCAGATGCTAAGCACCAAGAAATGCATTTAATTTTCAGGTATTAAACGATACAAGTATTTATTATTCCTTTTAGCTACTTTGTCTATACTTCATCAGAAAGCACTGTGACTTCAGAGCTGAACTCTGATTTAGCTATCACTGTAATTCAAAAGGAATCATTTTTACTGCAAGGACCAAATGCAAGTTGAAGTATGAACGTGTTCATCTGCACCAAAATCAGTTTACACTTCCCCTTCTCTCCTCTCACACCACACAGACAAGCACTTTTTGAGTTTTTCCTAAAGTCAACCGAGACTCATCACTTATACATGAGCTTCCGCTAAAACCACGCATCTGATTTGAAGGAAAAAAAAAAAAAACCACCACCTTTCAACACGCAACGTGAGTACTATGTGCACCTAGCAGTCCTCAACATAACCAAACAGGAAAAAAAATACCTGTATAGAGTATTCTTTTTGTGGTGTTGGCATTTTCTAAATGACACAGTGGAAAAAATAGTGTCTGTAGCACACTCTGCTATCTGCAAAACACGCTAACAAACACAAATCCGAAGCATTTGCTTTTCACAACTTTTAAAAACGCTCTGAAAGACTACAGTCTTTAGATGGTAAGCTTTTTTGTAAATTTAATAAACGGTCTTAAATGGCTCCTGTATGCTTTCAGTTGTTGAGTTAGAGCGGGGGGAAAAAAGAAAGCAACCCAACAGTCACATCTACATTTTTTGAGCTGCTGGTTGCAATTCAGAGACCCAACAGTCACATCTACATTTTTTGAGCTGATGGTTGCAACTCAGAATTAAGTCTTCAGTGACTAATTTGTTGTGAAGAGTAAAGAATTCCTTCAGAGTCACAAAATGAATCTCAGGGCGAGTTCGTAAATGACAAGTTTGGGTTCTGTCAAGGACATAAGGAAACACAGAATAATCAAATCACTGATGGTTTTCCAGCGTAGCAACCTCCAACATCAGGAGTCATAAGTCAACTTTCCCTTTTCTAACCCTTCTAAGTCTTAAATGAAACTCAGCTGTCAGTCATCAGCTGAAACTGTGGTTATCTGCATAAATTACATCGAGTTGTGTCCCTAGTTTTGGCCTGGCACCCAGACTGTGATGTGCTTCTGGGCAAGACTCAGAAAATGCCTTAAGATCCACACATTTGGTTATTTTTTATTACCCAGACTGACAAGGAGTACTTTTACACTGCATTAGAGCACGAAAATATGTTGTGCCTATCATCCTCAGGAAGCGGTAGATAACTAATTTGATCTTCCCAAACAAGGCTTCTACCTAGGTAGAGAAATGATTACATACACACTTCCCTTATTCAGCAAACCTTTTATCTGATGAGCATTCCTGTAAACTGTAGTTAACTGTGCTGCACAGGTGTTTTCCCTGCCATAAAATTCAAAGGCCCATTTGCATTTCAGTTGCTTTTTGCTAAGTGGAAAATATATCATAACCCATTTTTCAATGACTAATTCCTGCAAGGAAAGTCTAAGGCTTCACGTTTTTACTTAACAATAAAGTTACACCACTTTTAGATGGGTTCAAGTGAGGAGATTACTCTGTTACAGAGCTGCCATTTTAATACCAAACCAGATTCAAATCTGAGCTTCTAAGAGTTCGAAAGTCTGTCTTATGACTTGCACACTCTGTATTTTTAGAACAACTGAAACATATTACATGATGACAAGTTTTGACATTCAGATTTTAGGAAAGTAAAAGAAAAACTGACACACACCAACAGACTGCACTTACTTTCTTCATCTATTTTCAACTCTTCGTTGTTTTTAATCTTCTCTGCAATCTCTTTTTCATTAAAGCCCTTGCTTGCCAAAAATTTTATTTTATACTCATCCCAGGACACATGGCCTGTAAGAAAAAGCCACATCTCAGACATGACGGAGCACGCTTAAAAACAATGAACTTTTGGTCTCCTTACTTCAAACAGTAAAATGGTTGAGCACTAGAGTGTCGGGTCAGACATCGAATCCTCACGCTAAGCTTTACGAATGTCAACAGGAAAAAGATCACCTGATCCACTTTTATGTCTCCTGTAGACCAGGCAGCCCTTGTGAAAATAACCCATTTATGTCATCGTCCCCACCCCAGCCCTGGCAAAGCCACTTCATTCAACTCGTTGCAATTTCCCATGACCACAAGTGAAGTAACACAGCACAGAGCCAGAGCGCTCACTGCAGCGCGTCCCGCTGTGCTCCAGCCCCTGCTGCACGGAGCTGAAGCGTTGCAGTTACCTGCAGCCCCAAGGAACCTGGAGCTTGCCACGGCACACGGGAAGAGCAAACCTGTAGCAGGTTTGGCTACCAGCAACCAATTTAATGGGTCATCAGGAGACAGAGGGATCGTTCATCTTACCGTCGCCGTCCGGGTCCACAGCCCGGAAGTGCATTTTGTTCTCTTCCACAGCTTCCTGGAAATGTTCGTCTGTTTTTTCCATGATCCAGCGCTGCATCTCTTTCGCACCTATCTTTTTGTCGTTATTTATATCCACCCTGTGGAGCAAACACGATTTAGTTCTGGGGGCAGCAGGAGAGGTGTAGCGTATTTTTAGATTCAAAATTAATTACTTGATTCACCACTAACACACACAGGTTGATACAGAAAAGACTGTTTATAAACCTCTTTGAGAAGTCGCACATTCTTTGAATTAAAGTTGCAAGTTAGCTATTTACTCATATTTCATTAAAAAGAAATTAATACAAAAGTACAGTTGAAGAAGGTTTTCTAGAGCACATCATTAAGTATTCAGATAGAACGATATTTAAAACTGAAAACACATCACTGACATTTCGATTCTATTTAAAGCACACCAAAATCCCACGTACAATTTTTAAAAAATTAAAAACCAAAACAAAGAAAAACAAAAACACCCAGTTGATTCTGGCTTTTTTGAATCTGTTTGTGTCACTGTCCTAACAGTCCTGAAGTGTTATCATTGAAACTCGAGTTATCTGATATGTGATTTGCCTTTAAATGTCAACTAAATGTTAAAAGCTTCAGCCAAGAAACAACCTTAGCACCTAATCTTCTACATCATGTAGCTGTATTAATAAACACAGTATTAGTGGTTTTAAAACTTTTTATCATCTTTTCACATATATATATATATATGCACACAGTAGCAACTTTTCAGTATCGACAGCAAGACCCCTAAGTCAGTCACGTTCCACTTGCACCACCTTGCATCCACCAGGTGAACAAATGTGGGGTTTGAGATGAAACAGGAACTATCAAAAATGAGAAGGGACACCTCAACACTTAATATTCTAGTTTCCTTAGCTCAAAGCCAACAAACTTAACACTTCCAAGCCCTGCTTTCCACCTAAATCACACCGTAACTAGGGGGGAAAGTAAGAGACATTCTCCTAAGACTGAGAATTACAAGAAGGAAGGACAGCAAGTAAGCCCCTCTCACAAATTTTCTGGACCTGAAGGTACCTGAACACTCACCCTTGGCAGGGAAAGATCACTACATAGTTGCACCCAGGATTTTTTGCACCCCTAATATCAAAGGGCAGAGTGGAAGTACTGGTTAACTTGTAAGAAACCACTTCTTTAGACAAGTAAGGCTTGTCCTCCCAGTAAAGAAGGACTTCAGAAACCAGAATACAGAATTATGAACAACCACTTGCTCTTTCAGTCACATACAGCTTGCTGGCCTAGAAAAAACATCGTTTGGGGAACGTTTTTTCCATATTTCGATTTTATTTTATAAGACAATAATGTACACTTTGAATTGCTTATTTTCCATCATAGGGGCACAACACAGAATCTCAGCTGTCATCGATTAAAAAAAAATTGTTTGCTGTCCTCAAAGTAAGTATTTTCAAAGCACGAAGAAGCCTGTGACTTAGCACCTTTCCACAGAAGCCCATAGTATTTCTTTTTTCACTCAGCCTTTAATAGTATGTCTAGAAAGCGACCAAACCCTCAGAACGCTTTTTTTTTTTTACATTTCTAATCTGTTCATCTCGACAGAATGCAATTTTAAGCCCGGATCTGAGTAAAGATGATCTCGCAGCCAATTGCTTTAAGCTCCCTAAGAGAACCTCTTTCATAACGGGCAGAAATGAATGGAGTTTGCAATCCGAGTACGACAATCTACTAACCACCAGTTGAACGTTTCCAATAAACATGCAGCAATAAAGAAAATGAATGTAGCTAAAATAAAAAATAAAAAATAAAAAATAAAAATCCAATGTTATCGATTTTTTTCCCATTACTGACAAGTTTGCAGAAAATAAAAGCTTTGCTACGGCTTCTCATTTTATCTCAGGTATATGCACACTCCTGCACCATCATCAGCATTAAGAGCTGTTCTAATGCAATTAATCTTCCACTGCAAAAATGCAAATGAAGCAAATTCTGCCACCCGGCGTCCAAAAGTAAGCACTGACTTTGATTTCCATTTCCATTATGCTTATCAACCTCCAAAGAGTCAGTTTATTAGCTGACATAAACCTTTTCTTGCACAAGGGCTTTATAGAGGGGAAAACGTTTTAATGCCCAAAAGTAAAATTCATATTCTTTTACACCAAGTAACGAGCTAGACAAAGTTTTCAAAAAGGCTACAAAAGAAACATTTAATCTTTCTGTTCTCATGTTTCATTCTCATTCTCATTTCTTCTTCTAAACCCTGAGAAGCTAAATGCTACGTTAACAACGCCGCAAAGTTAAATAAGAAAGTGGTCTGAATTCTTACCAGGTATAGCTATTTACAAGCTTCATGGACTTGAACACTTGAATTTTAGACACACCTGGCACCTACTAGAAAGTTTGTTGTGGTTTATTTACCACACCCTTACCCCACGGTCTGTCCCCACTTCTTCCTTCGTGACTTGACTGTTGTCTTTTCCCTCTCATCATCACAATTTCTAAACATTACAGAAAAAAAAACTCTGCAAATTTTACTGTGAAGATCAAAGAATGAGGCTGCACTGCTCCCGATAATGGACACAACTCACTTTGAAAAGATGACCATGAGCTTCTTCCTATTTTTTCGGGGTTCTGAGTCTTCCTCAAATTCTTCCATCTCTTTTCCTAGAAAAACCTCTTGATGAAACTCTTTGTTGAGATGCCCATCCATTTCCATTTTGACCCCGTTCAAGTGATCCGGGGGCAAGATCTCATTCTCATCTTTACTGTCAGCTGGCTTTTCTTTGAGGGCCGAATTATTTGCAGGTCTTGCATAAACATCCATCAGAAGAAATATGAACAGAAGCGACAAATACAGAGTTCCCAAACTGCAGAGAAAGGCCTGCCTTGACATCATTTTTGCCTTTTTTATTCAAAGTACCGGCTGATGAAGTTACTGTGAGTGGATTAAATTATCTAAAAACAAAATAAAGAAAAAGAAAACGCATGTAAACTAAACTCTAGAACTTTATGTCACTAGTAAAACCATCCAACAATTCGGGTAGAACTGACAGACACACATACATAAATATTTCCTGGGAAAGAATAAAAAGCCCTGTAAATACCAAACATACAACACAAAATTATTCTGTGTGAGCTCTCAGTTTGCACAATTGTAACTTCTGCTGGAGGGATCTGGAAGGTAAGAGCCTTTAAAAGGGCTGGTTCTGCTCTGGCAGCTCTCCTCAGCTCTTGTGGCAACTGAAGCCCAAGATTTACCTGAGAAGCCCAAGCTCTGCCACGGCCAGGTCCCTCACAGCGAGCTGCACCAACAGCCCCAGAGCACAAATCTCAAGACGCCACCCGGTGGGAGAGGCGAGGGAACGAGATTTTTGGGGAAGAGATGCCCGAGGGAAGCACAAACGGCACCCGCACAGGGAACGGCCGGCGCGAAAAGCGGCCCCGCGGGGCAGCGCCGTCACCGCGGAGGAGTTTGCAAACCCCAGGGGCAGGAGAGGGAAAAAAACCAACCCACACAAACAAAACCACGGTCCCACAA